CGAGCCTCAGCCCTACCTCTCCTCCCGTCCTCCGCACCTCCACCTCCATCCCCACAGACTCTCAGCCTGACCCTGTCACCCCGTACGTCAGAAGAGATGTCCCGCCTCCTCTGCCTCCTCCTCAGCCCCCTGCTCCTCCCCGCCCTCCCAAACTGCCCGACAACCAGCCCCCCAATATCTGTGACGGGGACTTTGACACGGTGACCATGCTGAGGGGGGAGATGTTTGTTTTTAAGGTGAGAAGTAAAGAAGTATTTCCTATGATTGTTCAGAAACACAGTTTAATATAAATGTTTGCTTGGATTGGACCGCAATAAAACTGCCACTAGTGTTTTTATAACCCCTGACCTGAAAAACAAGCACATGAAAAGATGTACGATCTAAAACGACCGTTGTTTGAGTCAAAACAACATTCAAGTCATACAATGGGAAGTGAACAATAAATAATTCTGACTGAAGATAAGCTAAAAGATAAACATCATTATTTTGCTTGGCAGGGTCGCTGGTTCTGGCGTGTGCGGAGGAACCGGGTCTTGGATAACTACCCCATGCCCATATCAGTCTTCTGGATCGGCCTGCCTAGTGACATTGACGCAGCCTACGAGCGCCACGATGGAAAATTTGTCTTCTTTAAAGGTATGCCGAAGCTGTTTATCACCAATAAAACCTGTCAACATGCTGAGTGGACTGCACTCGATTAGGTTTGCATTTTATTAAAATCTCACACTGAGCTTTGTTATGGTTTTTCTCCTCGCTTAAGGGCACAACGAGAGGCCGGTTAATTTCCGTAATGTTTCTCAGATATTTCTCCCCCAAGCAAAGCTGGAGCCAATGTGGAGCTGTTACATAACCACAAGATTTGGAGATCAACACTAATCTGTACATTGATTTAAACGGGTCAGACTGAATGGAAAGCAGCGCAAACTCAGTATTTTTGTTTACAAGCAAACAATGTGATTTACGAGGATAAGGAAATAATTCAACAAGGCTATAACTCTTGGTATTTGGCAGACATTACACAAGAAGGTGATCATGATTCATTGTATTAACACTGTGACAATATTGCTGCAGATGGAAACTATTGAGTGTACTGTGTGTTTGTATGTGCATCACAGAGTCTGTGTGTGTATAAGTGTGTGTTGCTGAGATCTTTTGGCGTCTTGAGCGAGGCCTGTGCAGCGTGGCGGCTGTCGCTGCTCCAGTGTGACTCTGTGGCTCCAGCTGAGCCCCAACAGGCCTCCTGGGAGAGGTGGAGGATTGCATCAGCCTTCCCGCAGTACGCTGCTCCAGATGTTAACAGCTGCAGAGCACTCACTTTTACAGTCAGGCCGTGTGGTGATTTGTCATGCATTTTCAGGATTTTCTTTACTTTCGATCACAGATTTTCTTTTTATTACCCATGAAAGGCTTTTTCAGGGGTGGGGTGGGGTTCATTATCCAAATCTGAGAATGGTGGTTGATGTATGCTGCACAGATTGTTAACCCCATTCAGGAACATTTGGAACATTGGGCTTGAATTGATTAACACTCATTAACATCCATGGGTGATAGCTGTTACATATTTGTATTTATCTCCTAAGATTTGAAAGTAAATGCTTCCGAATCTGCGACAATGTTGCTCATGTGAATCCAAAGGATTTAAAACCTGTAGTACAAAGAACATAATGTAAAAATGTTTGCACGCATTTCTAGAAGCCCCTATGCACAGACTTACTGAAGCTACTTAGCTCAGCACAGTATGTTGCAATTCTCCAGTGTCCTGGCAGTGTAGGTGGAAAGTGGCTTAAAAGTGTTTCCAAAAAATGAACTTATACAAGAAATTGGCTCCCACATGGGTAAATCTTGGAAAATAAGTGTTGTGCCTACTATTTCTAACTTCACTGTCCTTTCTACTTTTCTTCTGGATTGAGTAAACCCCATGACATATGCCATATGCTCTGGCCATCACTTTCACTTCATGTGCCATGGCTTTTTTCTCCCTCCTTTCTTTCTCTCCCTCATTAACTTTTCTCTCATATTTCCCCCCTCTCTTTGCCATATAACACGTAAAATGTAAACTCAATCATTTTGTCCCCGCAGATGAACAATACTGGGTGTTCAGGGAGGCTGACGTTGTGCCGGGATACCCACAGCCTCTACATCAGTACGGACAGGGAGTTCCTGCTCACAAGATTGACACAGCAATCTGGTGGGAGCCCAATGGATACACATACTTCTTCAGTGGAGACAGGTACAGTGTGTCAGAGACACGCAGCAAGATTTTAAAATATAATGTAAGAAATCAAAGGAAACATATTGTAATTTATTAAAGCAGTTCTAAAAAACACATCACTTTTTCTGTGTTTAAGCATATACATTTGTGTATCTTGAGTGCCTATCAACCAACAAATTGGGAACTAAGACAAGTGGTCATTTTTTGCGGGCTGCTTGGGTCATGGGATTCAACAAACCATGCAGGCTCATTGGCATATACCTCCAGGTATTTCTTACAACAGTTGAAAACCACTGAAGAAGCAACTTCTGGTGCCCAAAAAGGAAGCCAAAGTGAAAGTGCCAAACTGCAGTTCCTTAAACATCCACTTGATGTTGGCTCTAAAAGCAAGTCATCCCCATTGAGCCCAATTGAAAAAGGCCTGACTTTTCAGCAGAAAGTCTGCTACAGTCAGGTAAAATGAACCTATTTTGGTCTCTGTAGCGAATTCTCCCGTTCATGACAACTAGGGGTTGGGACTTGTACCTGTTATCTGTAATACGGCCTAAAAGTTATGCCTACCTGTGGGCTTTGAGTGACATATACCATCACAGGTCGCAGCCTCTGGCTGTGTGCTCTGCTCTCACCCTGTCCCGCACCAGTTTCACCAACGATCCAGATTTTTGCCCATTTGAAAAATAGCCGGGTATTGGAAGACTGTCAAGTCACTGTCAAAAAGGCTACGTCCATTTTTTTATACAGTCTGGAACTTCCTTCAGAAAAGATGTGCCATATTATATTGCAAGTGAATTAGAACAGTATAGGACTTTTTTTTTGAGAAGCTCAAAGAGACATGCGCTAAAATAAAGTATTTTAGGCAGAGGGGGATACAGGTTTATTTAGACGGACAGTATACTCAAACTAGAGAATGCAATTCCTGAAGAAATTGCTAGTGGGAATGCTTTATGCTGAAAAGCTGACGCTAAATTGCTATGCTGAAATGTAATGTGTAAGTAGAAGGTGAAGAATTTAGATTGAAATGATACATGAACACTGGGGGCTTGAATGTGTGATAAGAGAAGAAAATAAAGTAAAAAAAGCTTGGAAAAGCAGCAGAATGTTTGAACTGTAAACTATTGAACTAACTTGATGGCGAATGATCTGAAGCCATGGCATCGGTATTTGGTGACACCCCATAATACGCTTAGATGCGTTGATGGCTGCATTGTTACCAAACCTGTGAAGTTTTGGGCTGTTTGGAGCAGTTTCACTGAAGTTATGAGAAAACCGTGTTTCATGGCGAGCATTGTGTTACCATGGCAACGGCATTTGAAGAAATCTCAAAACTGTCACGTAGATGTCTTCACGGCTGGACTGTTAGCACACATGTGAAGTTTTAGCACTTCACAATGGTTAATGGCCGGACCACCATTAACCATTATCTGAAGTCTGGTGCTGTTTTAGACAATTTTCCTAGGTATCACGACAACATCGTGTTTTATGGCAAGGGATGCGTTTCCATGGAAACGGCATATGGTGAGATCTCAGATTTGGCATAGAGCTGTTGAGGCATGGACCGGTGATATACAAGTGAAGATTGGGGGACGATTGGACCGTGTCCATTGGAGTGACAGCGACATCGTGTTTTATCGCGAGGGATGCGTTGCCATAGTAACACTACAATCAGATTTGATGTATAGAGCTGTTCAGGGCCACAGTGTTAACCATCATGTGATGTTTGGTGGCGTTCTGAGCATGTCAGTTGGAGTTATGACATCATCGTGTTCCATCACACAGGTGTTTATGTTTGAGCTAACGACGTTATGAAACACCTGTGCTTGAGCCCAGAGATCAAAGGTTTCCATGGTGCAGTAATCAGTGAGAGGAGAGCCTTTCCATGGTTCTGAATGAGAGATAAACCTCTTACATGTGAACGTTTTGTTGAAGAACCTTAACAGATATCAGTGAAATTTCAACGCGTGAAGCATCTCAAGGACCCTGAGCATATGAAGTGTGCTTTTTGTATACTTTCGGGTCAATAATGTGGCTTTTTTGGTAGATTAACTAAAGGTGTGCAGCTGCTGCTGTGAGGAAAGATCAGCCTGATTTTACAATGGTTCTTAATAACCACGTTCACACCGCAGTACTTTTCCCACTTTAGTTCCGATATAGTTCCGAAATGTCACGTTCACACCAAAAAGAGCCGGTGTTGTGTCAAATTATGCACCCCCGTCGTGAAATGCACCCCTTGACACGGGAACGCGCATTTGAACGTATAGTCCGCTATTCTATGTTGTCTTTTTGATGGTTGGGTTGTCGAACCCTGGATTTTGCATTCATTTGTCACTTATTTTTGAGTTATTTTTTTATTTAATATATGTTTTTATTTAATTGTGACGTCTTGTCTGTATACTTGTGCTTTACAATGTATAGTTTATTTTTACATCCAATGCTTGAGGGTGGGATTAATAGAAACTTTTTTATTTTGGGGGTGCTTTTTATGAACAGCCTGGTTGCCACGATATGCACCCCTTGCTATCTCTGAGCATATCGTGGCAACCAGGCTGTTCATAAAAAGCACCCCCAAAATAAAAAAGTTTCTATTAATCCCACCCTCAAGCATTGGANAAAAGTCAGTTTGTCGTAAAACTGTTGAAATATAAGACCATGAAAAATACGCAACTAGAAAGACTACAAATCCCAGAATCCCGGTCCCGCATGCTGGCTCTTACGGAACCGACTAACTCCCCTTGTGTGTATGTACAGCTCCCAACATGCCCAGACTTGTTGTGATTTTCACTTCTTTTAATACTTTTCGCCTCATTCTGAAAGAAAGAAGTGAAATGTGCCAATGTGACGGCCGTCTTGGTGTGTGGTGCGAGATGTAGTTCATTGTGCGGTTTCACACAAAAAAAGTGTTACTTCACAGTTTTACGACACATTTAAAAAAATTTGACTTGCAAAGTTATCTTTTAAATTGACAAACATCATATGCGTAATTCGTGGCACAATTCAAACGGGATCGAAAGATAATCTTTCTCTCGCCATTGACTTCAATACATAATTTTTCCGAAATGAGGTCCCATGGAGCTCCCCTGGAAAGGGAGGGACTTCGCCTTTGCCTACACACAAACGCGTCACAGATTATTTCGCGATATTTGGCTGCTGAGCGAAATCCTGTATGTTATCGCGACGTAACTAGGAGTCTAGTGGACGGTATCAGTGCTACAAGTACAACATTTAAAAAAATTAAAAATTTTTTTTTAATTAATTACGTTGTTTATAAATTAATCGGAGAGCCGCAAAAAGAGGAGGTGGGGGCCGCCATTTGCCCATCCCTGCTCCAGTTTATTATATAGATTGTTGTGCATGCAACTAGCAAAGGCTTAAGTCCACACCAGAGGGCGTTTAGTGACATTACTATGTAAGAATCATGCTTCTAATTGCAAGCGCTCCAACATATTGTAAGTAATAGACTTAGGGGCAAGACATCTCTTAGCATTTGACCAATCACAACAGAACCGACCCGATAACCAATCAGAGCAGACTGGACTCTGGTTTCAGACAGAGGGTGAAAAGAGGTGCTGCAGCACAGACAGCATAAGAAAATACCTTTTTGAACATTAAAGCATGTAAACATGTCACAGTAGAGGAACAAAATACAATTATATAACCTGAAAATGAGCATAACAGGGTCTCTTAAATCTGTACATTATTCAAGTGTTGTCTGGATTTGTATCAGTGCATCCCTGAAATTCTCAGGTTAAAATGGTTGTGGCAAGGTGAAACTGGTTGAATGCAGTGAAGTTATTGGACGGGTTTAACCTGGCCGTTAATTCCCTAACAAGCTTAGTCCTCCTGTGTAAGCCTCAGGGACAATACTAAGTTGCTCAAGTCAAGAGTCGCAAAGTTAAAGACAAAGATTTGCTTCCTGTTGCTTGGGTAAATTAACATGTACTGTATAGAATGAAAATGATTAAAGATAAATCAAATGCAAATTATATTATTTTATTTTTTTCCAGGCACTACTGATGTAATAATAATAATAATAATACATAAGATCTCACCTCAGTGTGTTCCTGAGTGTCCTCAATCTCTTTATACTTTTCATCAGGCTGAGGCAACACCTTTGTCAGGCCCTGAGCGACCCAGCCCATCACTCCAGACCTGGGAGAAAAAAAACTCAAATATATTTCCCTTTGAACAATGTATTAAGCAATACAAATGCACTCTTATTGAATCATACTGTACCTTTCTTCACTTTCCCCCATCTGATGGATGGCAAAGAAAGAAAAATAGAGAATGAGAAATTTTGGAGGCCAAAAAACTCCACTGCAAATCTCCCTCCTTTATGTATTTGCACTCTCCATCACAATTATATCACTGTTACGGTTCTACTTGTTGTGAAACTTGAAGTGTTGTGAAGCAGTGTTGCCTGTGTACTCTATCCCAAATGTTTTGAACTTTGTCTCAGTTATGAAGAGCAAGACTGGCTGGCATCTGGCATTTAAAGAAATACTTTGCGCGCAAAATAACCATTTGTATTTCAATAACATCACCCTGTTTTACCTTAACATTATCGAAGAAAGCTGAATCAAGTATTACAAAACTGAGAAGTCGAAAAATATATAGATTTGCAATATATAGATTTGCAAAATATAGATTTGCAAAATCTGTCACACATTTTGGGCAATATAATCCAAGTCTTCCCAAACACATGCATTTCAGTAAAAAACATAATATTTAAAACACTTTGCTTAATCAGGTGTGCTCCCTATCTGTGCAAATGTTGTTTATGCTCAAGTGTTTTAAATGTTTTTTAGCAAAAATACATGTTGAGCAAAGAGTGGATGGATGAGACCTGCATCATACAGCACAAGGTGTGTGATAGTTTCTTGTCAATACTTTGTGTTATTCGTACTGTGGATGCATGCGAGACATTTTCTTTTTCAAGAATTCAGATAATACAAGATAATTAATTCATTGACAAATTATTTTTGGGGTGAAGTGTTCCTTTAACAAAAGCCAAACATTGGCAAACAGTTGATCAGTCTGATCCTTGAATTAGGATACAAAGATATATCTTTAATTGAATAACGACAAGGCTAAATGCCCACGTGACCAAACATCTACACACTCACCCTTTCAGAGTCGGACCGGCTGAGTCGAGGGGAGCCGGTCGGCTGAGGCATGGCGCTGACGAAGCCATTTGACAGCCAGCCTAAAACTCCAGTGTGGTTCTGGCTGTAGAGGTGGAAAAAAACTTGTAAGATGACAGTATATTTACAGAAACATACAAACATACAAGCGTAGCAACTCCCACATTTCATTTGTAGATAAATTGAGAAATTGTTTGGCTTATAAATTAGTGAAACCAATTGCTCAAAGTCTAAGGTGATGAATTTAAATATCTTGTTTTGTCAGTCAATAACCAA